TTTATACGCTCTGTCCGTGGCGAAATCCAGTTCCTTTTATTGAGTAGACTTCTATGAAGATCAGTGAGTTAGTGAAGCATAACGCAGGCACGTAGCCTGGATGCAAACGGCATGTCGCTAACAGTATGACCTGGTTCCATATAGTACAAATATTGGTAACCAGGATCATCCAATTGGTGATCGGAGTGTTCATTGAGCTCAGCAGTTGTGCTACAAACGTTTCGTTTCTAACCGAGATGACACTATCAGTACACTGTTAAGTACTGGAGCAGTGCGAAGCTTCAGTCAGTGTACATTTCCTCTGGGCGGACAAGCCGCCAGTCTGAGTTTGGATCATTCGACAGCCATATGACTATCACGAGTGGGCCGATCTCCTGAGGTGATGGTTTGAAGCTTCTAAGAAACATGTATACCCACGCCAAAAGACCCACTGGTAATTATAAAAAGCGTGTTGATATTAAAAAACAGGCCAATCTGAACTGCTGAACTCACACTTAATGGCATATGACGCGAACTGGTGATCCCGGTCACCATGCACGCAAAAAACTACGAATGACGAAAGGGCTGACTGGCTTGAGTAACTAGCTCACCACAAAAAACAATTGCCCAAATGATGAATAAAATCGGTAGTGGTCAGCGTGCTTTTAAACCACACCGACACATGATCAGATGGGGCGTGGAGGTGCGGCTGAAATCTCTCGAGGGACTACCGCGCTTGGAAGCAGGTCCCCGAGAGACGGTTCCACGAATGACCGTATTACTTCACTTGAATTTTTCTTACCCTACTTCATTCTGCATTGAATCTGTTGTGCTCCAGGTTCCTAGTTACTTCACCTCTACCGTCCTACTGTCTTACCCATATTCCCAATTAACTTATTCCTTAGATCATAGACTTGCTTTTAGTTGTGATACATTTCCTCTATATCTCTACACCAAGAATCGGATAACTATTGTACACTTTCCTAATCACCCTATCTTTGGCATCCACAAGACCACGATGCATTAAATAAGTCCTGACTTTGCAGTGAATAGACGCTTATTTCTTTGTCTACTAATCGGTTTAATTCTCCCTTTACAACATTACCTTTACCGTGCATAGTCACGCATGCCCTAAATATTCACCTGAAAGGAATGCAACTGAGCTCACCCAGTATCTCAGCCACCTGATAGCCCAAAACGACTTGATTAGTTCGACTCCATAATTAGACCAAGAAATGTCTAGACACCACGCTTGCCTTAACTCCCTGTGATGTGAATACTGTCCATATTATTCTGATAAAGCAACTTGAGGTTGATGATCCACTGGAGTCACTTTAAGATAGTCCTTTCCTTATTTTCGCAACCTCCAAACTTGCTATTCACAAATAGCTCCAATTGTATTATTCCAGTCTATTAAGTAAGACTGGGTATCATTAATCTGGTCTTGATTGGTGATTCTAACTGGTTCAGCAAACCGCCGCCATCATGGTATCACAAAGCTGCACCGAAAACAACCAAATGAGAATGCCCGCGAACTGGTAGCATACGGCGACAAAAGTCCCAAATGAAAATATTCGCAAAAACATCTCTATTGTAACCCTGTAAAAAGCCAAACCATTGACAGCGTCGCATGCCTGAGCATGTTGCAATGTAAATATGATCCGTCCCTTGGTGGGCTCGGTTTCTCGGTACCACGAGAAATATACCTTATTATTATTAAAATTGATCACTGAGTAGAATCTTGTAAAGTTAGCACACGTATCTCTGTGGCTGACGTCGTCGTCCTCAGACGCGCTTGTCCGGCATTCTGTTCCCCCTAGGTTTAATCGATTAAGTCGGTGATCTTTCATCCGTAGTGCTGCCCAAAGCGTATACAGATTAACATGTCAATGGATACAATTGGTTTTAAAAAACTCGTTCGGTCGTTTCGGACTTCCGTGTGCTATAACCAATTCTCTCTCCAAGTAGAAATGGTGGTCTTCTCGGTCTTCACGCACGTAAAATGCTTTTAGGGTTGCAGCCAAAGGAACCCAAATAAAACTCATGGTTCAGAAATCACGAATACAGACAAAGCTACGAACCTTTGTTCCAACATTGTAACTGTGTACCAAAAAGCGAACAACCAACATGTTCCGAGTGAAGCGTGCAAATGACCACGGGTGTATGAGTACAGATTGCAAATTTTTCTATACACTCAGGAAACGTATGTTCACTTCGCACAAGAGAACATTGTTCCTGTCGCCTGGCCCACAAACACTCGCAACATCTGTGAAACTTTCATTTCATATAAAATCACACACGTTTCAACGGTTTACTGTGGTCTGTGCTTTCGGTGTTCACTCCTTTGCCCGAGGCATTTTGTCCTGTTTGATGTTCACTTTTCTGACACAGTCTACTCACCCAGTATCGCGTGCTCTGGCATACCACGGCGCATCAGTTAGGAGTCCGTGAGAAGCCATTTCACTAGGGCCACCTTAAGACCACAACAGAAACCAAAGAATGTGGATCACGTCTCCGTGTTGAAAATGGCATTCTGGTTTGTCTGATGCAGTGTTTAGCTAATCCTTCACAATTTATCTTACAGATGGCATCTTTCTGATTGTTTGATTCATTTTTACGGAATCGAATAACAGTTGATAGCCGCCAGTAAGATGGCATTTGCTCCCTGCGCCAAATAGTATCAAAAAGGGTAGTCAAACCAGTGAGACTTCATTTTCTTTCAGCAAACATGAAGCACTGTCTAATTTAAGACACATTCGTGTTCGGTTTCCTCAATAATGGAAGTTGTTACATTAGTCTCAGGTGGGGACAGGTGACTCAACCAGCAGCACTGATGAACAGAGCCGGTTGAGTTGTTGTACAAAATTTCTAGACCAACGCTATAACCGAGTTAATCAGGTATCCATCGTCTTCAGTCATTTATCTACACACGAGAAGCTTTAGTGTGCTCGAGTAGAATGAGTTGGAACAAAGCTTAGGTATTTTAAGTGGCACACACTATAGTCTCACAGGCCATCGTCACCTGTCAACGCCCCCGGTAAAACCTAGTACTCCTAGACCGGACGAGTGTCAGTGTTCCGTTCACCTTGACTAATACTCCAAGGGAAGCAACTTACGTGCTTCACCATGCCAATCAAAGTTCTGAAAACACATTCGCTATTCAGCTATCTCAAGCTGGTCGGATAAAACTACATCAGCTTTTTGCCTTGCGCATTGTTGTAGGTCATTGCAGTCTGTACTCGTCTCGTCTAATCTGTTCAATAGTGACTGCCAATACATAATGAGATTGCTGTTGACGGACTGTGTCGTTTGGCATTTTGCAGGGATCAAGAGAGCTGACGTCATAAGGGTAGGCATGAAGACACGGAAAGAATAGAGCGCGTGCTAGAGAATGACCAACAATCTTGTACAGAAGTATGCCAACTACAGCTGATGGTGATGTGACTACGGACATGCCTAACGTTCGGTGGGTGCCGTATGGCTCCGTGCGAAATTCCGTGCTTAATGGCTACGTTACTAAGCTAAAATTCGTAATCAATGCAATATATATATATATATATATATATATATATATTGATGAAAGAAGTGCTGACCCCGAACGGCACCAAAGGTGACGTTCCCATGCCGATCGGCAAAGCTTGAGCGTCCAGCTGTCCACAGAAATCATGATATTTGCACTTTTTCTCGTTCGAATTAAAGAGAGGAGTAGCTTACAAACCTCGTTTTTGATGACTTCCGAATTACTGTGGGTGGGAGTGTTGATCAAGACAACCAAACGACACCTTGCCTTCATGTACTATCCATGATCTCCGACGGAGTTTCTATCCCAAACTGAATGTACATAGGTGTTTGTTTAAAACATCCAGACGAGTGGACTTCACGTCTTCTTAGAAAGGCTCCAACACTTTAAATTTCGCAAATCCCGGGTTCCGCAATATTGGCAAGTTACCTCATTCAAACCCGAGTATGGTTAGCGTACGTGCATTAGCGTGTCTTGTGCACGCGGTTCGGAGACATGGAACTTACAAAGTCCGAGGGAATGTAAAGATATAGCAACTACCGTCTGATGGCCGATATGAAACAGTGTGTGTGTGAGTTAAAAAAATCCCATGTGGGAAGTTGCACTACGATTGCTTGATGGTCTGCGTTCCATTTTAGTTGGGCCGGTGAAAACCGTAGTGGTCTTTTGTTGGTAGACATAATAGGATGATAGGTGAAAAGAAAGGGAAACGGGAGGAAGGGTATTTGACGACCGTGTCCTGTGAGTGAACAATGGTATGACAAGCCACTGCGAAAGGGGGGTTTGTCTCATGGCTTAACAGTACGGCACACAAAGTAGGGGAGGAGCAACTCAGTGTGGAAGTGTAAATGCAGAGTCCAACTAAGGATACGCCTAAAGCCCGTCAGTCGTAGCCTTGGCTAAGTTGGAACGATCCATGTGTCTTCCGACTGTAGTACCTTAAGCATCTGGGACCACGACCCAACCCAGGTGGGGTTTGACAGGTTGGCGCACTTTTGGCCAAAGACTGCCTGACTGTAGGTGGATGGCAGCAAACTATTGAGCACCAATTGGTGCACTCCCAATGGCGCTAGTGCTCTACGGTAATGGACGTGTGAGCTTATAAACCGTAAACTGCTGCCCCTGTGACCAAGTTCTCAAAAACGATGAACGCAGACCTCCATGGAATCATCGATGAAAAGGACGCTAATGCCGAGTTTATCTGGCTTTTAACCACTGATGTGTACTGTATGGGAAGTTCTGAAGGCATTTAGGAAGCGTCACCAATCGTGGCACAAGGGATCGCAGAGGCGCGCACCGCACCATCGACCGTCGCCCTCACGATATACGATGGTGAATAAAGCTAGTAGCGTGTCAATAATAAAGCGCGATTGACATAGTAAATGACCAAAAGCACCAAGTCCCGAGTAATGATAAATAAGCGTATTGACTCGTCCGGAGAAGGAAGCTGTAGTAATGCAAAACAGTAGAGAAATGAGGCGCAAATGAAGCGGTGACTTACTGATTTTTTTATCTTCGAGACTGTTCCAGTAGCTCTGATCGTCCAAACGATCTGTGTCGACACTCATCGGAGTAGTACCATTTATCCAACAGAAGGCATTAATGTATGGACCCAAGTTGGATCCGGAAAACGTAGTGGGCACATAGCACGATAGTGGCTCAAAAACGTAAGACTTTAAAGTGACAATTGAAAAACAAAGGACCAACAAGGTGAAGGATAATATGTAAGAGCAACGATCAGCAAAATCGTCAAGACCAACAGAGTCTACGAATCGTAGCTTCTCCAACTGCGAAATAAATTCCAGTGCCACCATTTCCGAGCTAAAACAGAAGTGGTAGGTTACGATGAACACTAGAGCAGTATCACAAATAAGCAAATGAAATATATAGCATCGCTATTTACTTCCTTTAAATAAGGGCACCTGAATGCTAATAAAAGCATATTTTCTCTGCAAACAAGCGAAGGCGTGACGGTTTGAGGCCTGGGTAAATAAAGAGGAGCAAGACGATAAGCCAGTTTGGGTTGGGTGGACAAAAATGCTGAAAGTTAAAGGAACAGGCCGTTTTGTGGTAGAGTAGTGCGGAGGTACGATGTATTGGATGATACGTTCTGATGGGGAAGTATGGTCCCCAAAGAGAACAAGAACCATGTGGAATACAATATTGTGTAGCTAACAGGCGAGCGATAAAACGTGGCCGAGTTGTAAATGGCTAACAGAAAATAAATCGAGATGAATTCCAGAATGGATGTGCGCAACCAGATGGTGTAAGCGATGCAGAACCTGAACCCATTCTAAGTTGAGTCATAAAATAACGTCTCACAGTAAAAGTTCGTCATTCATGATGTGCGACACAAGTTGGCAGTAGTTAAGTGTGTTCCTAGTTACGTCAGTTGATGCCATGGAAAACTGAACGACAGTGGCAACACGACAACCGACAGCGCTCACTTTTCGTCAGTACCGACTCGGCTCACGGTCCCATAGTGCCTGCACCAGGGGATCAGACGGCGAGGATGTCCATCAGAAAGACTAATTACCCTACAGTACAGTGTCCAGTGGTAGTACAATCCTAAACACTACATCACAGTGTATTGATGCATTGATGCCACAAATGATGAAGGACGATAATCCTAGGCCAAAACTGCTAGAGTAAAAACTCGCGATCAGGGCGAGTGTAAAATGCAAACAACGTATGGTCGTTAAAAAATACAGATCATGCGAGAATAAAGTGGCGCTTGTGAGGCAGCTTCTTTTGTGACATTCACTGGCCAGTGTCATAATCATCCTTGTCATGCAGATAACTCCATACCATACGCAAGTTGAAGGGGTAATCCGGGTGGAAGATAAAGCTAAACGCGACAATGGTGCAGGTCGCGAGTTATGTCACATAAGATCCCGAGATAAGCAAGTGGAAAGCGAGGATGCAAACCTGGAAGATGACACAAGCCAATAGTAGCAAATCTAGTAGTATCCGACTGTGTTACCAGATTTTAGATCGATGGACACTATCATCGAACCCTACACCATCCTAGATTCCCGAACCTTTGCTAAATATGACGCGCGCATCGTGATGTAGTGCGTCCCATTGTCTAGACCGGCGTCACCAAACAAAATAACAGCATCACTGGGTTAAGTTTAACAAGTTTAGTTAAAGTACCGAAGCGAAGTGATCCGGCTGCACTGACATACGTCACCAAATAACAACAGCAATAGTGATAATGATGATAATAATATAATCGATAGGAATGGATGAAATAAAAGATCACAGGTAAGAGGATGGAGGCAAGAGTAAAACTAATTATGTGACCGAGAGATAACAAATACACCAGCCAATGCCCAGCGCCTCATTTCGTGAAACTTCGGAACCAATCTGACCCAATTATTCGGTGAGCTTCTACATTCTTTTTGCAAAGTTAATGTATGGCTACTCCGGAGGCTCACGCAGCAATGGGAAAATGCAAAACATCAAGTTAGTATGAACGCATGCAGGTAAGTGACCGAGCCAATGAACGCGATTCCATCTCAACAGACCTCAATGAAGCACTGCGTCTGTAGCCAAGTACTTCGTGGCGACCAAATTCAGACCCACGACAACACACGTGAGGCTGCCTTTTACGATCATCAACAGGGATAAAATCCGTTAGTAGCCCCGAAATCAATACTGTCTATGAAGTATTGTCAAAAGGTGTTGGAGAAATCGTAGAAATTTTGCTACCGCAGGAGCAACCTTCCAACGGACCTCAAGATGATCAATGAGCTGAGCATCAGCATATAGAAAACAAGTGATGCGTTTGGAAAGCTGGAACATCGGGTCTGGAAGAATCATGAGCTGACAGTTTGGACCAAGCTAACGGCGTGAAATGCGACGGTACAGTCGCTTTTTGTTTACGGCAGCGAAATAAGGATGCTGTAACGGGAAGATATCCGATATTTGGAGTGATTTCATCAATAGTGCTTGCGTCAGATTGCGCGGATCCGTTAGTGTGAAAAAGTCACTGACACGAAAGTGCACCGCCGAAGTGGCATGTATGAAGTGGACTGTATACTGCCGCACCTAAAGTGGCTCGGACACGTCCGCCGAGCGGATTCAACGAGGATACCGAAACCACTGATATTTGGTCAACTTAGTGCAGGGAAGCGGAATGTGGGAAAATCGAAGCTACGTCATTGACATGACCAAAGTTAGTTTATCCTGAACTAATGTTGAATTTAGGTGTTGGGGATCAATGTCAGTGGATTGTAGCCAATGGCGTGAGCACATCCAGAATATCGTTGATCAGGTACGTCAGAAAGAATTGTCGCATAAAGAAGTGAGACGTCAGTTAAAAAGCGACAGGCGCCGACAGAGCCTAACCAATCGACGTCAAGCCCATGGTGCTGTAGGACATGGTGTCACGTGTGCTTCAGCCAGGCTGGTCTGGTAAGCCATCAGCTTGATCGCGAGAAGCCCACGTCGTAGACAAGGAGGAAGTTCTATAGGTAAATGCGCTGTTTGCGGTGGCTAGATCCTGGCAGAGAGTCGACTCGCTGCTCTCAATGCTGTGCCTTGGACTTTTGTCCTGGACGCCTTATTGTGGCGACCGCTGGGTGGGAGTTTGGTTACACCCTCCTTCTAACTTGGAGTCAGAACACACAACATTCGGCGTGAGTCAGTTCACTGATACATGGTGCATCGTTTGCTGCCTTTGGGATGTGTATTTTATCGAATGCGTTGGCTGAGGACCCGAGGTATGGACGCCCTGGCAGTACACAAATCCAAAGTCAAACCATGAAATACATCAATACTGATAACATTATGCTGCATCGGCCGTCGGGCAATGGTGGGTAAGTGGAGTGTCATCTTATCTGCTGCACACAGTAGGGTGGACAAATGAAAACATGATACCGCTGACGCCTCTCTACATTATTCTTCCCCTGCAAATACTCTCACCGTCCCATTCTAACCAACCAATTAATTCTTCCAATCCAAATCACCACAAGATTGTCCAGCGTAATCGCATGACCTCAGAACAAAGCGCTCAATATCGGGTGCTGGAACTTGCGCACATTACCGGACCCGAACTCAACTGAGCGCCCACAGCGGCGCAGCGCACTGGTCGTGATGGAACTCGCGCATTACGATAATGACATTGCCGTACTGAGTGAGATACGGCTGGCTGACCAAGGCAAGCTGCAGAAGACTGGTGCCGGTTACACGTTCTATTGGGTGGGAAATACCACTACAGTACCACATGAACATGCGGTCGGATTTACACTACCTGAGCGCCTAAATGGCCAGCTGGTGACGTGGCTGACTGTCATCAGCCCACGACTGATGACCCTTCGCCTACGACTAAGGAGAAATAAATTTGCCACTCTTATTAGTATGCATGGTCTCATGTGTTATCCAGCTTTACAGTCGATTATCCTCAGTGATACGATTTGTGCCGAGGGGCGATCGGCTATTCCTACTAGGTGATTTCAACGTGCGTATTAGGCGTAATGAAGTAGGGTAGACAAACGTCATCGGTTCGTAAATTATGCCCATGGTTAAATCAAAAATGCATTTGTAAGAAGCGATTTCTTTTCGATAACTCTCATCAGGTATTACATTTATAAGAAAGTGTAAATGAACTCAGTATGCTAGTGAAAGCAGAACTAAGGTTAATACAGGTGATTTGAACATTGCTGATAAAGTCAAACAATATTAATGTCATCGGTCCGTATGGTATTGCCACAGCCAACCGAAACATGATCGAGTGCACTCGTTGCACGTTACTCAGAGCCGTATAATCACGAACACACAATTTGCACTGGGTGCGAGTGATATAACTAGTTGGACGCACCCACGGAGTGGCCAAGCTCATCTGTTCGACTAGGTCATCGTACGCCAGCGTGACATGCGTGAAGTGCGCATGACACGTGCACTGCTTGGAGATGAGTGTAAAACTGATCACAAGTAGGCGCGGACCAGATTGTATATATAGTTTCGTGAATCCATGAAATGTATTTCTGCCGTAAACCGGTGCAAATCTGACGTTCTTTCCATAGATATCTCTGAGGAAACGATGAAGCTAGAGAAGGCGGCGGCTACCCAACTTAGCGATGTAGAATCTGTCGCCTTAATGATAGACTTGTGGCACCACATCAGTGAACAGATGACGAACGCTGCCGAGCAAACCATCGGGAGGGTAAACTGCAAGCAGCCTGATTGGTTTAATGACCGTGCGACAATTGAAGCATTGGTGTCGGAGAAGAATGCAGCATTCGATGTACATGTGGCGAACATTTCTGCTGCAAAGGAGAATCATTTTCGCAAAATTCCACAGGCAGCTGACTTGAGAGCTCCGTCGCATCAAGAATGAGTGGTGTACAGAGAGAGCGAACCAGATGAGAAGTTACACCGAAAGCCGCCAACACAAGAGATTCATTAATTGCTCGAAAACAGTGCATGGACCCACCCTGTAGCCGATGAAGACGCTTCTCGATACGACTTAAAGTGATGCTTGCACACATAGCAGATATACCGCAGAGCTGGTGAACGCACTTGAACAACCGTCCGGAGATTCACTATCACCAACATTATACATGGTAGCTAGAAGCAGAAAACACCTCAGCTACTGTGCCGCAATACATAAAAGGAAAAAGAAAAGAAAATGCAACAGATGCATGCCAGCTGAGCTACTAGTAACGGATGGGCATCGTTTCGCAAAGCTACCAGCCGGCTACTATGCAGCAGAAAAATCTTATTATGCAAAATTATATTAGGCTAAGAAGTGAGATCGTGGTTGGAGGGGGAGGCTAAGAGGGATGGGGTGGGACAAAGAAATTCATAACGCAAACG